CACTTGGGACCCCAGACAGAGACACACGTTTCCTGAATCCCTGCTGGAGTCCTATGCTCCACGCCCCATTCGTTATCAAGTCCCTGGGACCTCCAGCTCTGTGGGGTGGAGATCTCAGCTTGAGAATCTCCTAGATCTTCTACCGTACTGATCCTGCCTCCCCACCCACACAGGGCACGGATATCATCACCCTTCTTAACACAGTCCACTATGACCCCAACCAGTTCCTGACCCCCCAGGAATTCAACCCCGAGCATTTTCTGGATGCCAATCAGTCTTTCAAGAAGAGCCCTGCCTTCATGCCTTTCTCAGCTGGTGAGAGCCATGGCGAAAAGTCAGGGTCTTTGGGGCCCCATTCCTATCTGCATTCCTCAGTCCTAATTCCACTTTCCAAACCCTCTCGCTTCTTCATCCCACCGAATCCTCAGTTTTGGGTGTGCGGAGACATTTGTTCTCCCTCTCATCTCTGCTCCTATATAGACTGATAGATAATGGCTAAAATCCTTACGGAGGGAGGTGGGGAGGGAGGATGTTAATTCAACTTGGAAAAAAGAAAAATTCAACTTGGAAGTGGTCACCATCAGTCTCCCCACTGGGTGGCGCAGGTGAGCAGCTCTAGTTTTCCGCGCCTGTGGTCTTGATCCTACTGGGGAAAAAATCGTTCCTGTTTAACCCAGGGGCAGAAATTTTAAAAGGCGGGAGGCGGGGATGGGGGTGGGGAGATAATAAGCCACTTACCATACTGCCTACTGTGCTCCAGGCGATACTTTCAAGGAGAGCTATTAGTGGCTAAGAGTTTGGGTTTTCCAGCCAGACCCTAGCTCTGTCATCTCCTAGCTATAACGGCCTTGAATATGTTACTTCACCTCTATGAGCCTCAACTTCCACATCTATAAAATGGAGAATGATAAGGCCCACCTCTTGGAATTAGGATTAAATTAATGACTATCAATATAGTGCCTAGACTAACTTATGACACGCAGTATGACCTACATAGCATCATATTCTCATTTCTTTACCTGTATGTACCATTCACAACAATTACTGAGGCACTGCTATCATCCCCATTTTTTAAATTTTATTTTTCATCATCCCCATTTTATTTTTTTAAAAGATTTTATTTGTGGGGCAGCCCGGGTGGCTCAGTGGTTTAGCGCCGCCTTCAGTCCGGGGCCTGATCTTTAAAAAAAAAAAAAAAAAAAAAAAAATTTTATTTGTTCCTGAGAGACACAGGGAAAGAGAGAGAGAGGCAGAGGGAGAAGCAGGCTCCATGTAGGCAGCCCAACGTGGGACTCGATCCCAGGTCTCCAGGATCACACTCTGGACTGAAGGTGGCGCTAAACCGCTGAGCCGCCGGGGCTGCCCATCATCCCCATTTTATTTTTATTTTTAAGATTTCATTTATTTATTTATTCATGAGAGTCACGGGGAGAGAGAGAGAGAGAGGCAGAGACACAGGCAGAGGGAGAAGCAGGCTCCATGTAGGGAGCCCGATGTGGGACTCGATCCTGGGTCTCCAAGATCACGCCCTGAGCCAAAGGCAGACGCTCAACCGCTGAGCCACCCAGGCGTCCCCATCCCCATTTTAAATACTCGGAAACTGGCTTGCCCAAGATCACAGAACTAGTAACGACAGAGCTGCAATTCGAACCCATGAACTTGTCCTTGTATGGGCCAGACCCTCCTTGGAGGATTTACTTAAGCATCTTTCCCAGACCTTTAGATGAGTGGCTCTGTGACCCAATCATTAGTTTTTTCCGAGAGTCCGGGACTGGAGCCGCTCACCCCATCTTTCCCTGGCCGCTCCTCCGCACCCTCCCACGCACCCCCGCAGGTCGCCGGCTGTGCCTGGGCGAGTCGCTGGCGCGCATGGAGCTCTTCCTCTACCTCACCGCCATCCTGCAGAGCTTCTCGCTGCAGCCGCTGGGGGCGCCCGAGGACATCGACCTGACGCCGCTCAGCTCCGGGCTCGGCAACCTCCCGCGGCCTTTCCAGCTGCGCCTGCGCACGCGCTGACCCCCGCCGCCCTTCCCCGGGAGGCCCGCCTTGTGCGGGGCTGGGTCCCCCCGCTCGTTTACCCTGTGCCCCCGCCCCTCTCGCGCACACACCCGCTTCCCCGCACCCGTGCCTGCCGCCCCCCGTCATCCTCCATCCCCCATCTTGACCTGCTCTGCGCCCCCAGAAGCGGAGAAACGCAAGGGGAAAGGAGAGCTTGCCTCGTTCTACTGGGCACCCTTTGGGGGGGGCTATTTGTATCATTTTCTAATAAAGTGTCTTTATAAAAGATTCAAACCTAGGACGCCTGGGCGGCTCAGTGGTTGAGCGTCTGCCTTCGGCTCAGGTCGTGGTCCAGGGGTCCCGGGATCAAGTCCCACATCGGGGTTCCTGCAGGGAGCCTGCTTCTCCCTCTGCCTATGTCTCTGCCTCTGTTTTCTGTGTCTCTCATGAATAAATAAAATACTTTTAAAAATTAAAAAAAAAAAAGATTCAAACCTGCCTGGGCTGAATGACAGGGAGGAGGACACACACACACACACACACACACACACACACACGGATCAGGAGAAGGGATGTCTGGCTGCAGAGAAAGGAGTCACTGTACTGATCAGTCTTACTCCCAACCCCTAGAGTGGCTAGAAACTGGGAGACATTGTTTCCTGGGGTAAGGGCTGTGAGGGCCTGATGACAGAGAAGCAGAGAAAAAGCCCAGAGGTAGACAGAATAGGTCTGCAAGAGATGCAGGATGGAGATGGAAGCAGAAAGAATGTGACAGCTGGGAGACAGCCACAGAGACTGAGAAATAACACTAATGCACCGCGCTTCCCATTCACTCCAAACACCCCCCATTTAAAGCTCCTTATAAGGAACACCTGGGCGGCTCTGGTTGGGTGTCTGCCTTTGGCTCAGATCATGATCCCACAGTCCTGGGATCAAGTTCCATATTGGGCTCCCATGGCGAGTCTGCTTCTCCCTCAGCCTATGTCTCTGCCTGTGTCTCTCATGAATAAATACATAAAATTAGAAAAATAGAAATTAAAAAAGAATAAAGCTCCCTATAAGACAAAGCAGCATTACACACGTTTAGAAACTCAGAGGGCTGAAAGGACTTGGCCAAGATCACACAGCCGGAAGCAGGGCAGGGTTGGGAACAGAATGCAGACTCTGACACTGCTCCCGTCCACCTCACAAGTCAGAGGTGCAGAGGAAAGCAAAGGGGTACAGGGACGGAGAAATGGGGAGACAAAAGAGAAAGGAGAGACAAAAAAAGAAACAGAAATGGCCAGAGAAGGTCAAAGAGGAAGAACGATGAATGGAGAGAAGTAAGGCACTAGAAGATGGAAGACTATTCCTTTGTCTCGCACTCCCTTTGGGGTGCGGATAGCAGTCCCAGGCACGGGGCCTCCCAACCTGGGGCTGGGCTTGTCAGCCTGACATCCTGCTGACAGCTTTTCTCAACAAACAGGTGAATAGACGAATAGGCGTCTTAAGTTCTATGGAGCCAGAGTCAGGCAGAGCGGTGGTGGCCTCCCAGCCATGGGCGAGGCGGCCTGCGTGATCCTGCCCTAAACAGGGTCTCCCCAAGGCCATCCAGAAGCTGGGACATGCTCTGCTGAGACTTATAGGCGGTCCCCACACCAGGCGTTGGCTCCTTAATCCCCATGCTGTTCCCACCACAGGCCAACCAGAGTCTGCTCCAGGGGCCATTGCAGGGCTGCAGGGGTGGAGAGATAGAGGGAGAGATTCAGAGGGCCCGCGGAAGAAAGATGAAGAGACAGCAAACAGGAATACATGGAAGTACAAAAAAAAAAAAAAAAAAAAAAGGAGAGAGGAGACATCCCAAAGACTAAAAACTGGGAGTGAGCCAGAGAGACAAGGAGGCACTGATAAGAAGGGAGAGACAGGGGCGCCTGGGGGGGGGGGCTCAGTTGGTTAAGCATACAATTCAGTGGCATTTAGTACGCTCTCAGCCTTGCTTGTTCATCACCTCTCTCTAGTTCCCAATATTCTCATCACGCCAGGAGCACCTGGGTGGCTCAGTGGTTGAGCATCTGCCTCGGCTCAGGTCATGATCCCGGGGCCCTGGGATTGAGTCTCGCGTCGGGCTCCCCTACAGGGAGCCTGCTTCTCCCTCTGCCTATGTCTCTGCCTCTCTCTGTGTGTCTCTCATGAATAAATAAATAAAACATTTTTAAAAAGAGACAGAGAGAGAAATGAACAAAGAAACACAGAGGAAGACACTGAGAGATGAAATAAAGATAGAGAAGCTGTGCAGCCCCCACCCTCTTCCCAGGTCTGGGTCCTGTGCCAGGCACCTGGCGGAAGGCTGGATCCGCCCAGGCAGGGGCCTGCAGGAGGCTGGGCCGCCTTCCTGAGCACTTTACGGGTACAGCATACACGGTTCCGAGGGCAGGGGCATGGACGTGACAAGGGCTCAGGCAAGAGCCACCAGGAATCACAAACACAGGGCACAGGAGTGTTTTTGAAGTGTAATTGGAAGTGAGGAATGTGTTTAGGAATCAAAAGTATAGAGTACAGCATTCAGGGTGTCACAGGCCCAACGGTGGCCAGGGGATTCATACTAGGTCCCCTAGTGAAAGGGACCTAAAGGGGAAAAAATGGGGAAAAATTAGAGAGGAAGACAAACCACGAGAGACTTCTAACTCTAGGAAACACAAAGTTGCAGAAGGGGAGGTGGGGGGATGGGGTGACTGGGTGACGGGCACTAAAGGGGCCACGTAATGAGATGAACACTGCGTGTTATATATGTTGGCAAATTGGATTTAAATAAAATATATATTTTTTAGAAAATAGGGCAGGCTGAGCCTGGCACAAGAGTGACAGAGCTGGGGGACTGGGTGGAGACCTTGGGTTGGGGAATCTGCAAAATGAGCAGCCTGGTGACACCCACCTCTCCCACTCCCAGTATCCGCCCTGCTCCACCCAAGGACCCAAAGGGAATCAAATAAAGGCAAAGAGGGCAGGCAGGGAAGATAGAGGTCATGATGTTCACGGCGCTGCTGCTGCTGCTGCTGCTCCTGCTGCTGGCCCTAGCCAGGCGGAGTTGGGGTGCCCAGGGCACTCGGACTCAGGGGCCCTACCCCCAGGGCCCACGCCTCTCCCACTGCTTGGGAACTTGCTGCAGCTGGAGTCTCGACGCCTGGACCGTGCGCTCATGGAGGTAGCCCTGATTTTGGGGGGGGAGGGGGTTGGAACTCCTGGTTCTCTGAATGAAGACAGCTGAGGGCTCTGACCCCATGAGTCCTGAGGAGGGTGGAGGGGTCTGGAGGCCTGTGTCCCAGGAAAGGAGGCTAGAGGTGGAAGCTGGGAGCCTGGACATCTGCTTGAGAGAGGAGAGGACAGTGGGCCTGGCGGAATGGCCCTGGGATCCCTCCCTCCCGCCCCATCCCGCGCCCCCGCTCCCGGGTCGTGAGGCAGGAGGAGCCTAGAGTGGGAAGGCGGGTCCGCTCCCCTGGTTCAGTGGAGAGGAGAGTACCGAGGGCCCAGACGCCTAGTTCTGAGGGTGCGGAGGGCTCGGGACCTGGTGTTTAGATCCCGAGAGAAGAGGGAGCTGGGAGCCTGGACTTCTGCAGAGGAAGGAGGGAGGGAGGAAGTGGGGATCTGATCTCTCCTCCGCCAGTAATGAGGGAGCTGGGGCCGGGGCTCCGGCCTGCAGAGGGAGGTCCGGAGCCCCGACCCGGAGCGCTGAGCCCCGGTTCCGCGTAGCTCTCCGGCCGCTGGGGCCCAGTGTTCACCGTGCGGCTGGGCCCGCGCCCTGCAGTGGTGCTGTGCGGCTACTCGGCGCTGCGGGACGCACTAGTGCTGCAGGCGGACGCCTTCTCCGGCCGCGGGGCCATGGCGGTCTTCGAGCGCTTCACTCACGGAAACGGTGAGTCCCAGGCGGCGGAAGCGCTGGCCCGGACCACCCAGCTCGAGCGATAAGGGGCGGGGCCGGGAGGGCGGGGCCTAATGAGGCGGCCAATGAAGGCAAAGAGCGAGGGGCGGGGCGGAGCTAAAGCGTAGGGGCCGAATTGGGGTGGGGGCGGAAGGAGACCTGCAGGGGTGAGGCCGACGTGTGGGTAGGGCCGCGAAGGCCGGGGTTGCAACCAACAAGTCTGGAAAGCAGTAGAGGGGTTGCGAGGAAGCCGGCCCCCCAACTGGACGCTTCCCGGATGGGGCGTGGCCCACCCCGCGGCCCGCCCCTCCCCTGCCCCACCCCCAGGCATCGTGTTTTCCAACGGGCTGCGCTGGCGGACGCTGCGCAATTTTGCGCTGGGAGCGCTTAAGGAGTTCGGACTGGGAACGCGGACCATAGAGGAGCGCATCCTGGAGGAGGCGGCTTGTCTGCTTGGCGAATTTCAAGCCACCACTGGTGCGGCCTGGTCGGAAAAGGAGTGGGGACTTTTGTGGATGTGGCCAATGATCAAGAAGGGGCGGGGGGGGGGGCGCCTGGCTGGTTCAGTCAGTAGAGCAAGCGACTCTCCATCAGGGTTGTAGGTTCGAGCCCCGGGCTTGGTATAGAGATTACTTAAAAATAAAATCTTTCAAATCTTAAGGAGTGGGGAGTTGGGGCGCGGGGCGCAGGGAGGCATTTGCTTTCTTGGCATTTGCCAAACCACAGCGTTAAGACCCCGTGCTGTTCCCACCCCCAGGAGCACCGTTTGACCCCCGGCGGCTACTAGGTAATGCTGTATCTAACGTTATCTGTTCCGTGGTCTTTGGGAACCGCTATGGCTATGAGGACCCAGAGTTCCAGAGACTCCTGGACCTCTTCAATGACAACTTCCGCATCATGAGTTCCAGATGGGGCGAGGTGAGAGAGCTAGCCCCAGGCCCTCCCTCCTGTGCCCGACCTATGCCAAACCCAGAGTACATAGACCTACCGACCTTGGATCATTAGGTCGTGTCCCCCTAGATGTACAACGTTTTCCCCTCCCTCCTTGACTGGCTCCCGGGCCCACACCACCGAATCTTTCAAAACTTCACGGAGCTTCGGGTCTTCATCTCTGAGCAAATCCAGCGGCACCAGCAGACGCGGCAGCCTGGGAAGCCCCGCGACTTCATCGACTGCTTCCTCGATCAGATGGATAAGGTTCAGGCCCCTGCAACCCTAAGCTCTACCCACGCTGCCCACCAGGAGGAGCCCGGCACGCCACAGCACCCATCTCTGTCCACAGGAGCAGAATGACCCTGAGAGCCATTTCCAGGAAGAGACGCTGGTAATGACGACGCACAACCTTTTCTTCGGTGGCACAGAGACCACGAGCACCACTCTGCGCTACGGGCTCCTCATTCTGCTTAAGTACCCAGAGGTGGCAGGTCGGTGAGCTGGAAAGCCTGCGGTTAGGGGGTGAGGGGGCTGGCGTTTGGTGATGGCTGCGGGCCAGGGCCCACCCAGCTCACACCCTCTGCCCACCCCAGCCAAAGTGCAGGCCGAGCTGGATGCTGTGGTAGGTCGGTCGCGCACCCCAAGGCTGGGGGACCGTGAGCGCCTGCCCTACACCAACGCCGTGCTGCATGAGATTCAGCGCTTCATCAGTGTGCTGCCATTGGGGCTGCCACGTGCCCTCACGCGTGACACCCACCTGCATGGCTACTTCCTGCCCAAGGTGCCCCCTCAGCATGGGGATTCTGCGGGGGGCTGGGGAGCACCTCTAATTGAAATTGTCAGCTCTGAGCATGTGCAATGCTAAGTCACAACCATGGGAGCAGGAGAGAAGGCCCACCTTCCCACTGGCTTTTAAATGGGGTCTTGGGTGGATAAAAGGCAGTGGCTAACCAAGTCCTTGGGGTAACCCCTGTGCACCACCCCCCAGGGTACCTTTGTGATTCCTCTGCTTGTGTCTTCACATCGGGACCCCACCCAATTCAAAGACCCAGACTGCTTCAACCCCACGAATTTCCTGGACGACAAGGGCGAGTTTCAGACCAATGATGCCTTCATGCCCTTTGCCCCAGGTCTGGGCCAGGGAGGGAGGGGACAAGGCTGGGCAGGCCCCAGGGTGCCTGGTTCCCACCCTGCATCCCTATGTCCTCAGGAAAGAGGATGTGCCTGGGAGCAGGCCTGGCGCGATCGGAGATCTTCCTCTTCTTTACCGCCATCCTGCAGCGGTTCTGTTTGCTCCCAGTGGGGAACCCTGCCAACATCGACCTCAGCCCACAGTGCACTGGCCTGGGCAACATCCCCCCAGCCTTCCAGCTCCGTCTGGTGGCCCGCTGAGGGCAGGCTTAGCTGCCCTCTGTTCACTGGCTCCCAGACCTCCTTACCCCCTCTGGTCAATAAAGGCCCTTAACTGCAGATGGACGGGTCTCCTTACCAGTAAGTGGAAGCAGGAGAATCAGAGGATTGCATCTCTGAGGTAAACTTTTATTTCTTTCTTGGCTGACAGGACTCTTCACGCCCATGCTCCTCCTGGCACCTTTTCTCCTGCCCACGCAGTGGCAGCCTAGTCCACAGGTGCCATGGCCACAGGGGTTGGGGAGTCACTTCACATTCCAGGCTGGAGGAGTGGGGGGCTTGGGGCTACTGTCCCCCCAACAAACCTTTGCCAGCAAGAGGCCATGACACCCCCAACCTCCAATCCTGCATCCTGGTGGGAGGTGGCAATGCCTCCTTCCAACTCTCCACATAAGAGGAGCACAACCAGACAGGGCAAGCCACAGGGCCCCAGCTCCAGTGATGGTAGCTCCCGACACCGGCCCCTGCCCGGGTCACCACCTCAGCCCCCAACCCAGGGCAGCAGAGGTTTCTCCTCCTCCTTGGTCCTCAGTGTCAGATGGAGCCCTCCACACCAGGCAGGACAGAGGCAAAGCTGGAAGCAGCAGCGGTGGCAGAAAAGGAGCAGGCACCAAGACTGGTGGGCTGCTGGGCCTGCAGCACGGGGCCAAAGGCTCTCCCGAAGTCAGGGCAAGCTGTCTGTCCATGCAGCTCTGGGGCTGGCCCCTAGGTGGGCGTGGTCGGCTGTGACACGGGTACTTGCACACCTTTCTGTCCAGATGCTAGGGGTGAGACAAGAGGAGACAGGGAGTCATCAGGGAAGGGACACAGAGGTCAAGAAAAACATGGAAATATGGAGAGGACCACAAGGGATGGGGCTCATGCCAGGGGTCCCAGGAGAAAGGGCTGTCTAGGGGAGATGGGCAGAGGGGAGGAAAAAAAAAGACTCACAAAATGTAGGAAGAGAATGATAAAGCGAATAAAGGGACTTGAGGCCTTGTGAGGTACATGGACTAGGAAGGGCCTGAGAGAAGGGATGCCATTTGAGAAGCAGGTACCTAGCTGATACTTGTCTTTGGCCGCTGCCCGCTCCTTTGCATCAAAATACCAGACAGTGATGGCGTACCTGGGGACCAGAGCAGCCCCAAAGGGCAGTTAGGGATCACTGTTCAATTCCAGCCACCACCTCCACGATGACACTGCAGTCCACCCTTCTGAGCTTGGTTCTATTCCCGCCTAGGCCCCACTCAGCACTTCACTTCCTAGCCACTCCTGGGGTCTGACAAGACTTTGTTGGCACAGAGCAGGACACCTGAGCACATCCCCACAAGTATCCGTCGTACCTGGTGGCATAGGCTGGTTTCACCTCGTGAGGGTTCCGCCGATCAGACCAGAAAATGAGCAACCGATCAAAGAGTGGTTCGATGTTGGCAACCACAGGCCGGCCCTCAGGGAAGATCTGCAGCAGGCCGCCATGCACCTGAGGGCAGGCCAGAGGATGAGGCAGGAAGCTGGCTGGTCCAGCCTGGAGCCTCTGCCTTGCCCCTCTGGAGCCCATGCTCTGGATGCCGGCAGCTGCTCATATCACTCCCTCCCACCACTCAGGCTCTTAAAAGTGAGTGACAGCCCAGAGTCTGCATCACCAAGGAGCAGGGCAGGAAGCTACTAGAGACAGGAAAAGGGATTGGGGGGTGCTGCCACCAGCCGGTCAGCTGGAGACAAGGAGGCCCACTTCCCAGGAAGAACCAGCCAGTAGGCTGGCTGCACTGCCCCGCTGTGGGCTGAGAACAGGAATGGGAGAATGCTAGAAACTGAGCTGGGAGTGCAAAAAGGAGTGCATGCAACCACCTCACCCTGGCCCCCACCCTCACTCCCACTCCCTACCTTGACGTCCCAGTTCTGATTCAGGTAATAGATACAGGTGATGCAGCGCCCATCGCCGTGGGGATTGTCAACATGCCTCACGTACCCCAGCCCGTTGCCTGGGTAACACGCCACCATGGCCTGGCAGAGACAGATGGAGTGGGCTTACGGGGACGTTTGGGGAAGCAGCCATTACCTCCTCTCTCACCCCTCCCAGCCCCTTGTCTCTCCCTGGACACCACCAAAGGCTCCTTCAGCCGCCAGACCTTCATCAGCCAAGCCACCATCTACCAGAAACAGCTCTTGGGCCTTGATAGCCCACTACACGACCGCACATGAGGACACTTTTGTATTTTCAAATTGTCATCACCGAAGAAAAGGTGGTGGTCATTACACACACACGTGCACATACGCCCAGAGCCTGGCACCCAGATGGGGCTCAATGAGTAACTCAGGGTTTTATTTTTTAGAGATAACCCAACCTCCCCCTACCTCAGACCCGTCAGAATAAAACCAGTGTACATATTTTCTGGTAAGGAGGGAGTGGCCTCATAGCCCTGCACCAGGGGTTCCTTACCCTGGCTTCAGTATGGGATCACCTGGGATGCTGATGCCCAGGCCCATCTCACGTTCAGAAATACCTGATCTAAGGTAGAACCTGGAATTTTTAAAGGTTCCCCAAATAATTCTAATGTGCAGCAATGCTGAGAACTGTTGCCCTTGACTACAAAGAATCCCCACTAAATAACTTCTGTGAATCCTACAAACAAGTACCAAAACCATGAATGTGACTAAAACCTGACCCTCCAGCCCCCACTCCAAGTATAACTGCTGGGTAGTTCTTGACCGTCCCATCACCTGAATGGGCCGCAAACGCCTCATCCATTAAATAGACTAATCAACACCTCCTCTGAGAACAGCCCTCTGGAGATTCCTGACTCCCCCAGACCTTGGCCAGTGTGTGTACAGGTCTAGCCGCAGGGTTCTGACCTCCTCTCCCTGCTGGCTGCCATCCCCCTGGACTATGTGGAGGCCTGGGCCCCAGCTGCTCATGGGGCCTGTTTTTCATCGGGGAGCCAACAGAAAAGTGGATGTGGGGTGAGGGAAAGGGTCCAGGCGTTCCTTCAGCCCTAACTCCCAGGTTCAAGGCCCAGGGCAGCCACATCAGCTGTAACATCATGCTGGAGACTTTGCTTCCGGTCTCCGGTTCCTCATCTGTGAATTGGAGCTGATAAACTATTTCCCAGGCAGTTGTGGGAATTGAGTACGACATACGTTTGGGAAGGCACCAAGCACGTTTGCCTGCCACGTGACTGAAAGCCAAAGCGCAGGCTGAAATGATGTTAAAAAAAAAAAAAAAGCCCTTGTTCTACTCTTTGCCTAAAGCCACTTGGGAGGGCTGCATAAGGCCAAAGGGGGAGTCCTGGTGTGCAGACCCTCCAGCTCCTTGGACCATCTGTCTTGACACCGTGACCCATTCCAGGCCAGAGACAGCCGGCTGCTGCTCCTCATTAACGCTCAGCTACCTCTGTGGGTCACAGCCCTGAGATAAACACTCAACATCAAAAAGATGGGCATTTACTGCCCAAACAGGAAGCTTGCCTAGCACTCCAGAACAGGCCAGACTGACTTCTCAGCCTTCTTCCAACACATTATTCCCAGGGCTCACACGGGCATGAACAGTCAGCAGCTCTCCATCAAACATGTGTACCCGAAGCGCCACAGTACCTGCCCTGGAAAAGGAGAGGCCAGTAGGGCCGCAGCTAGGTAAGGCCAGCCAGCATTGGAAAGCCATGCTTCTCTCTGGCAGGAACAGGGCAAGACCCTGACCCCCACACCCCCTGGGTTCAGGAGAACCTTCTTTGCACTGCTTACTCTCTATAAATGGGTCAGTGCTCTGAGCAACCATCTCACTGGGAGGAAAGAACGTGGTTATGCCCGGGTGGCCTGCCATCAGTGAATCACTGAAGCCCTCCCCGGATCAAATCCAAGCAGATTTTGCTGGTTCTGCACAAGGATGTGGTGGGGAGAGGGGTCCCATGCTGCAGCCTCTCCCCGCCAGTCCATCTCCACACAGCAGCCACAGACCCATTCCTCCAGCTCTTCACTGTTCAACCTGCTTCAAGACTCCACTGCATCAGGAGAAAATACAAAACACACATTTCATATTTTCACAGCCCCAGCCTCCAAGGCCACCAATCTCAACTATTACTCCCTTCACTCCGCTCCAGCTTCTCTAGGCCACCTGACTGCTCTCTGACCAGGCCACATTCATCCACAAGGCCTCTTCCCTGCCTGAAATACACTTCCCCTGGTCCTCCCTTGTTTTTGATGTCTCAGGTCAAAGAGCACCTTGAGTATTCCAGCTGAAGGCATCCGGGCTGATCTTCCATTCCACCCCTCCCGACGGGAAATCAGTCCAGGTACTTGTTTACTTAGTTCTGGCCCAACGAGCAGCCACGTGGAAGCCCCTGGGGCCAGGCGTGTCTCCCTAGTGCCCAAGCAGTAGCTGCTTACTGAAAATCCTCCTTCCTCTAGGTCTCAGAGCTCCGTGGAGTCCTGTCCTGCACACCCTCACATGGGGTCTCCCACCATGCAGGCAGGGACAGCGTCTGTATTCTGGCCTGGAATGGGAATCGTGCATGAAGGCTAGGCACAGACACAGACCCTTTAAACTCCACTAATCTCCCTACATACAGGCTTTGGGAGGGAAGGGGAGCATCCTCTGGCCCCCAAAAAACACTTACTTCCTGCCCACATGAGGGAAAGGGATAACAAGCAGAGTGACATGGAAGCCTGCTCCTCACCCATCTCAGGAAAGGGGCAGCTAGTGTCAGAGCACCGAGAGACTACAGAATTAAAGGCTACTGGTGACACGGTGCCAAAAGCCCCCCCACCACACACACACCAGAAACTGCAGACTGAGGCAATGACAGCAGGCCCCACCTCCGAGCTGCTCTTAAAGGGGTAACCAAGCCAGCCAGGCCCTCCTTGCGGTTCCCTATGGTTGGCCTTGATGGCAGTAGGAGTCCACTCTCTCCCACCTGCAGTCCCATCAGCAGAGGAACTAGAGAGTTGGGAGAACAGAACATACAAGCTCCAATTCAGGGGATGCCTGGGTGGCTCAGCAGTTGAGCGTCTGCCTTTGGCTCAGGGTCTGTAATCTAGGGTCTCGGGATTGAGTCCCCCATCAGGCTCCCTGCAGGGAGCGG